TTCCACTGCACTACAGTGTGTTTCCTGCAACAGGACTACGTTAAAATGGTTTCGTTTTATCCACGAAAATATTTGCCTTCTTTTATCATAGTTTCTCAATCCAGCCACATTTAAAGAGCATATTTTTAATTTTGTATCAGCCATTTTCTTTATGACAGGATAGAGAAACCCGCATCTACTGGTTTTTGAAATGCCTGACCACATTTGCACTTAAATTCTTCAGAGCTATTTGATATTATGCCACAAGAGCAGTTTACAGTAACATGGGTAATTTCTTGGTTTGCACACTTTATATAGTTCCCACTTGTTGGGATGATATTTATAGAGGACCAATCCCAAATCAGGTATTCTATCCCACATGTATTGCATTTTCTGATCTGCTCTGTGAGCGCTTCACTCACAACTTTACAACATGATAAAGAAGTCAAATCATAATTACAGCCCTGACACATTACAGATCCTGCTTGTTTCACAGTGTTTTTGTTTACAATAAATAATTCCTGATTACCACAGCATTGTTTCAAGATAAGGTAATCAGAGTTGCAGTTAGGACAAATAGTACTTTTGTCAGTTTCTTTAATAAGAATAGAGGAGCTTCACATTTGTGACAATTTAAAACAGTATGATTCAATCTTTGTTTTCTGACTGGTTGTAATTCCACGTTGTCATTATCCCTTTTTAATGTAGCTGTCTGTAATTCCATTTATTCTACATTGTCACAGTCATCAGATTTGATGAGTAAAATATCAGGTATAAAATCAAGTAGAGTACGCTTTGAAAATCCTGTTGTTTCAGCTATCTCCTCATTTCCTATATACTTAGTTCGAGCTTTTTTCTCGATTGGTGAAGCTGTGTCAGTTTCATTTGATTTTATACCATTGCTATTAAGTACCGGCACCACGTTTGTTTCAGTTCTTAATTGAGGACAGTTTATTTTGATATGCCCAGCCTCTCCACATTGCCTACGTCTTTTCTTTTGTCCAAATATTTTATAAGTTATGAATAACCAGCCACTGATATATAGCTAAGGGTTGGAGTTTCTTCTAGTTATTTTTTTGCAACTTTAGTAAACATACAGCCATTTGCAATGCCATCTTCATCTCTGTACGACTGTACACTGTTTTCAAATTCACATACTTTTAAATCTTGTTCAACATTATTTTCTTTTATGCGTTCTGCAACCCATGCAATATCAACTTTAATAAATTCTCGTTGATGAAGAAAAAATTTCATCTGCGGTATTTTCTGTTCTTCTAGATATCGTTCTAATGTGAGCACATCTTGACGTGTTTTGCGTGTGACATCAACTGCATTGAATGGTCTTACAGCGATGGTATAAACACTCTTTTTATGGATCCCATCTAGTATTATTCTCTTAGCCTTTGTTCATACAATATTTAATCATTTAATAGACAGAATTATAACTCATTTTCACAGATGGCTCCGTTATAATATTGGGAAGGATAATTAATAAAAATCCCTTGATATTTGTCTTCATGGTTTTGTTTGACAAGAACAACAACAATTGTGTGCGTTGCATGGGAAGATAGATAATCAGGATACCAAACCTGAGTTGGCAGAAACATAGCTTGGCACTACGTTTGTTTCAGTTCTCAATTGAGGAAAATTTACTTTGATATGTCCAGACTCTCCACATTGCCTACGTGTTTTCTTTTGTCCAAATATTTTATAAGTTATGTAAAACAAGCCACTGATATATAGCCAAGGATTGGAGTTTATTCTAGTTCTTTTTTTGCAACTTTAGTAAACATACAGCCATTTGCAATGCAATCTTCATCTCTGTACGACTGTACATCTGTTTTCAAATTCACATACTTTTAAATCTTGTTCAACATTATTTTCTTTTATGCGTTCTGCAACCCATGCAATATCAACTTTAATAAATTCTCGTTGATGAAGAAAAAATTTCATCTGCGGTATTTTCTGTTCTTCTAGATATCGTTCTAATGTGAGCACATCTTGACGTGTTTTGCGTGTGACATCAACTGCATTGAATGGTCTTACAGCGATGGTATAAACACTCTTTTTATGGATCCCATCTAGTATTATTCTCTTAGCCTTTGTTCATACAATATTTAATCATTTAATAGACAGAATTATAACTCATTTTCACAGATGGCTCCGTTATAATATTGGGAAGGATAATTAATAAAAATCCCTTGATATTTGTCTTCATGGTTTCGTTTGACAAGAACAACAACAATTGTGTGCGTTGCATGGGAAGATAGATAATCAGGATACCAAACCTGAGTTGGCAGAAACATAGCTTGGCACTACGTTTGTTTCAGTTCTCAATTGAGGAAAATTTACTTTGATATGTCCAGACTCTCCACATTGCCTACGTGTTTTCTTTTGTCCAAATATTTTATAAGTTATGTAAAACAAGCCACTGATATATAGCCAAGGATTGGAGTTTATTCTAGTTCTTTTTTTGCAACTTTAGTAAACATACAGCCATTTGCAATGCAATCTTCATCTCTGTACGACTGTACATCTGTTTTCAAATTCACATACTTTTAACTCTTGTTCAACATTATTTTCTTTTATGTGTTCTGCAACCCATGCAATATCAACTTTATTAAATTCTCGTTGATGGAGAAAAAATTTCATCTGCGGTATTTTCTGTTCTTCTAGATATCGTTCTAATGTGAGCACATCTTGACGCGTTTTGTGTGTGACATCAACTGCATTGAATGGTCTTACAGCGATGTTATAAACCAGGAATGGCGAACCTTTTTCGATGAATGGGTCAAAAATTATATTTTTATCGCGGATCAGAAGAGAGTGTCACTGATATTTAATCAATGTTTGTATCTTAAGAAACGTCTGAAAAAAATCTTATCTAAGATTCTGTTGGTGTTGGTGTAGGTTTGGGATTATGCATCACTTCTATTAGGGACTTTTAATGGCACTCGATTTTATGAAATTAGAGCACGAAAACACGCATATTAATTACCAAAAACGTTTAGGATGATGCGGAAAATTATTTTACGGTTCCAAATAGTTTGGAGGGAATTCCACTCAGATACTGTTATATTTTTCGAGTAGCTCTCAACCACATTAGTGCACTTTTACACTGCTTCATTGGTATTTCAGATTTTGTTTTCTCAACGGCATTGTAGGTAGCAAACTAATAAAATGCAAAGTAGCATCTAGTTCTCGTATGACCCCTAAAACAGTCCGCAGATGCTCTTCCGAAAGAGACAAGACGTTGCGAGAAATGAACAGATCAATTGCATTGATATGTCATAAACGATGTCAGAGCCAATAGCTGAATTACGGTAAACAGCGGTGCAGACATGCGTCCAAGATTAGAGGTTTTAAAAAATTTGAATATGAGCGATCGCAGCCTTGACAGCCCAACTGACGGCACATTATAATAGTCTAGTCTAGTTATTGTTAGATTCATTTGAAGCCGGTTTTATCAATTTTATCACTGATATGTTAGCATTTTATTTTATTTCATTCGTGCCTTGGTGGGTCACGAATAAAACGAGGTGTGTCACTTTGTGACCCGCGGGTCAGTTGTTCGTCATCCCCGTTATGAACACCCTTTTCAGGGATCCCATCTAGTATTATTCTCTTAGCCTTCACTCTTTAGTCATTCTTCTATGTTCATATTCATTTCAAATTTCATCTATAGACAGCATGGTCGCGGTATTTTCTAATCTGGAGGTATACCTATTCTCTCTTCAAAGCCTTTTTTCAACGCGGTCGAGTACGGATTCATGGAGATATTTGAATTTGCTTACGCTGCTTCAGTCAGTCCTTTAAAAAAAACTAGTCTGAATCTGTTTAGCAATAGAATAAAGTGAATGTCTAGCGACTTCTCGTGGTCGCGAAAAATCTAAAAATTATCGCAAGATGCCATCGGGGTTCTTCCGAATATTACCAAATTTATGTTCACTTTTGTATTTTTCCAAGGTCAAGACTGTCAATTTCGCTCTTCCGTCCACTAATGGATTTGTTCTAGGCCAACAGGCATTCACAGTAACCTCATGTTTACGAACTGAAAGGCCGTAATTTTGAAGTATCAGATGAAATTATCTATTTTTTCACACAAGTTTAAATTTATACGAAAAACAAAAATTGTTTTTTTCATTTGACCTTTGTATCCGATCACTATTTTTTTTTAAATTAAGCAATTGAATAGAGTATTCCAACAAGCCGTTAGTGGGCAACTGGGGTGGATCGGTTTGGTGTCGTGAATAAGTTTTATGTGTGGGCTTAAAGTTACGTAAAATTGTCTTAAAGAATAATAAAATTTTTGAAAAATAAAAAAGTCACATGGCAATAGTTAACAAAAACTACACAGCCTTAACTTAAAGCGCTTTTAATAGAAAAAAGGCGTCCTAAAACGGTAGTTTTCGGTAAAAAAGTTAAAATAGCGAAAACAAAATAAATTCTGCAAAATAATAAGGAATATTAATATAAATCCATTCCGTTCTATTATATTTATATCAAAACTATTCTGTCTTTTGTTTTATGATAATTTTGATTCCGAGTTCTCTAAATGAATCTAATTTGCATTAAACGATTCATCGCAAAATGACAAACTTTACAAATTACAGGGCTGTTGAGTGGGAACAAGTTCCCACAAGAACAGGAGTCTGATTGTGTCAGAATAGTAGATTTTCAATGGTTTCAAAATAAGTCGAAACTTCCTTATAAATTCAAGAAGCATTAATTCTACTGAGCGTTAGTAATAGTCGAATAAAGAAAGTTTGCATTTACCAGAGGTTTCACAATTAAAATCGTTTTTTTTTTTCAGAGTCGAATGTGAAATTTCCTATTTCACAGATTTATTTACGACGCTATTTATTATCTTGAAAGTATCAAACATTTTTGTAATTTAATGAGAATTCTTGAACATAAAATATATATTTGAATAAACCAAATCGTTAATATTTGAAGATTATTTACATTCACTCAGAACAAATTAGGTTATAATATTAAATTTAATAATTTCTCGACACATCTAAAAAATAAAAAATAGTTTGCTAGGTAGAAATTTATTAATTAAGGCATTTTTATTGAAATTCCTACCCAAAAACGGCCGACAAACAATTTTAATGAGTGAGCATTAAATCACATCGGTTCAATATATAGGCTTCAGGTTTGATTTCAGTCAAATTGATTGTGTAGAGTGAATAAGAGAACATGGTCACCAAATACCATGCAAACATACAACCTTTCAATAGGCCGATTGTGACCTATGTATCTCAGGCTCATTGTGACCTATGTATCACGTTCGAGCGGAGCCAAAACAAACGATTCTTAGTTTTCCAGGTATGAGTGAGTTCTGTACAGAGCCATGTTCAGAGTGAGGATTTGAAACACCTCAGGATTTTACACAAACTCTATCATCATGACGTTCTATATGCATTCATCAAGTAAAAGTGTCAGTAAATTAACCGTCTTATACAAGGTATAAGTTGTTACCCTACACCTCAACTGTATCCCATATGTGGGTTATATACCGCATGCAGAATCTATTTACTTCATATGCTTGTTCAACTGTGGGCCGTGGAAATAGTAACTTGGGGTGTAAATTAAGCTGCATGTGTGGCTAACGAATATTATGAATTAAAATGCGGCATTACAGGAGCATATGCTTGTTCAACTGTGAAAATAGTAAGTTGAAGTTTAATTACTAGCGTTAATAACAATTACTCTTAAATTCAAGTAATTTTACAGTTTTGTTCATTCAATATTCAATCATTCAATAGACAGAATTATAACTCATTTTCACAAATGGCTCCGTTATAATGTTGGGAAGGAGAATTATTAAAAATCCCTTGATATTTGTCTTCCTGGTTTCGTTTGACAAGAACAACAACAATTGTGTACGTTGCATGGGAAGACGGATGATCAGGATACCAAACCTCAGTTGGCAGAAACATAGCTTGGCCCATTGTGGAATACAGCTGATCGTTCTGTTGAAATAAAATATATATTTTGAGAAATATAACAAATGGCAGTTTGAGATTATAGCTGAATGTGATTGAACCAGTAATCCTTGTCATATGATCTGACAGAGCAAATCAAACTTATTTGATCTCCAGTAAGAAACCTAATGAAGCGTGAGACTATCACATGATTATTTTGCTCAGTCACACTTCAGTGATTACCGTTGGTAGATGAGAATTAAATGGAAAATACGCATAAAATTAGTTTGGATAAGTCAGATTCAGATTCGAAGTACCTTGTAAGTCATTCCCGTACGAACAAACACTCCTGCAAGCCCATCAGGAATTATTGATCGTAGATAATCTCGAAGCAAGTTGTAGTGTGTGACGTCATAAATGTTAGCTAGTTTGTTTTCGCAAAGAGATTCAGCGTCGCTTGATGAGACGTTCTTCACGTCATAAACGATCGCTTGAAAACAACTGGAATTATAGACAACACCACATTCTAAAAAAAAATGACAGTTTGAAGTCAGATAATTATGAAATTATCATTAAGGAGAATATTTATTTCTACGTTTTAATTAATTTAATAAGTTTTTTGATTTTATTCAGGATAATTGTTTTTTGTAGTTTTTTACAATAATATGATTGTGAGCCCTCAGAATTAAAGTGAACGTTTCTCTTGGCAAATTACCACTGAGCTATTGGAGCTTAAGATTCATAGCAGTAAATTAGGCGCCGGATAATACAGACAGATGGGACTTTGAGATATTGAACCTAATATATATCTCAAGTAAAGCTTTGTGAAAGCAGCCACGGATGTAGCAGCACTATTTACCTCAATTTATCAACCTGACTGAAATGAGATTTGACCCGAGAAGATCGGAAAGAACATTCAAATCTCCAACAACTTTGACATTGACTAAAAAATTCTTGATGCACTTACTTAGACCATAACATTCGGAAGAGTTCAAAATTGTTATGTTGTCTAACTCTACATTCCCGGATGCCTCAAGCTCAAGTCGGACCTAAATGAAATAAAAAAGATATTGAAGTTTGAGCAGTGCTGCAAGGTAGTGTCTAGAGTGAAAGCCGAGAGTGCTTTCATTGAAAAGTCGAAATCGAACTTTCTAACAACAAAGTCAGCAACCGGTATTCCAGATTACTAATTTTGATAATCGAAAACAATTTTTGAACAGATTGCAAAAACATTAGGTTTACTACTTTACTTTAAATTCTCAACATGCATGCTCGAATTTAAGTTTTTGTCACAAAATTTTGGTTTCTTGGTTTAACTTAGACTGCAGTGTTTCCCAAATTTTTTGAGCCGTGGACCCCTGTTTGTGAATCTTAATTTTGACGGACCCCCATCATATGTCCTATCAATTTCTGTACCTAGCCAACTACCGTCTCACACATGTATGTGGGTCGTTGCAAAGGGCAATAAAATAAAAAAAAAGGTGTTTTCTGGAAGCTATGAGTATTCGTCATCAACACTCAATGGCTTTTTAAATAAAATCAATCATGAAAAAATCGATTAGACTCATTTGATATCGTTGCGAACCCCCTGCGCAATTATCACGGAACACCAGGGGTCCGCAGACCCTATTTTTGAAATCCCCGACTTAGGGTGAGGTAAATAGATTCAGAAATTGTTGTTGATTTGGAGTCAGTCCTTGACTGAATCAGAATTGCGAGTGGAATCTCACAGAGTCAAAAAATCTACATATGAGGTTTATGCATGCGAAGGGGAAAGTTGATGAAACGGATAATTATGCAAAGACTGATTACAACCATCTGCAAGCTGATCAAACAAGACTACATTCTACCAATCTCAACCAAACGCCCATGTGAGTTGGGATTCCCGTAGTATGTGTACCAGGTTAGGATTAGGCAATATTTTTATTCCGGTATTTTTTTATTTTAGTCCTAATACGAGTTTGGTGGCTTTCTGTGTTAACCAAATAAATATGACCTCTGTCCATAGGGTTAGCTCTTTCACGCAACTTTGTGTAAATCAGGCGAACAAAATTAGTTACCTCCTTATTGGTACAGATATGTCAGGAACGCAAAACTTGCATAATGTGGGATGAGATTCATATTCAAGGCAATTCTGATTTAAAAAGATTTTCGCTAACAAATGTGTTGCAAACCTCGGTATCTGCAGAGTTCACTTTTTTTAAAATGAACTTCTCGGTCATCCAGGTAGTCGAGGCAGAAAACGGCCATATTGCTTTCCTAAAAAAAAATTACGAAACATATCATTGCTGCCTTCACAAAGACTTACAAAATAAATCAAAATTAGTTATATTATGCTTTTTCCAGGAACCTCATTTATATGGAATCTAATATTTAGCTCTTTTCACGAACGCATCAACTTGAACTGCCTCAAGTTTCCCGTCAATAAGTATTTACTAATTCTAAATGCACCGTTATAGTTATAGCAGCTCTTCAAATTACCGTGATTTCGTTCATGGATAATCCTCAGAACAAATTTATTTGTTTGTTGGAGTAATTTGAAACTGGGGTTTGCAACGTTTAATACAAAAGGATTAGATACCAATAACTGGGTAAAACCGCGTGCCGCACTATTATTTAACAGAGGCTTTGCGTGACAACATGACATGTTTTGCAAACCAAAAGGATTGAAATTACTCGCACGTATCAGATTGAACTAAAAAAAAAAATTGTTTCACGTACTGCATACCTCTCCGCGGGCCGTCAAATTTTTATTGTGGGCCGCATTTTGCCCGCTGGCGACAGGTTTGCACAACCCTGATCTAAAACAATGATTTTCAAATCTCCTCGTTAGTTTTTGAAAATATTATTGCTTTACCGTTCACTGACTGCCTATACACCGCCTGCTTTGGTGTGAAAGCGGCAAATAGTCGAGTAAAAAATAAATGCAGTTCAAGCTACTGACGTTACAGTTCCATTGTGAGCCTTGGCCACCATTCCTCCATCAGATGTCCCTTTTATGTCAACACTCATGCATAGTTCCTCATTGCCTGCCAAAGCCTTGGGTAAGGATCTGAGTGTACCATTACCAGCAAGAACATAACCTAAGATGAATTAGAATACAAAAATTGAGAGGATATCTGGTGGAAGAAACAGAGACACAAATAGTACCAATTTTTGTGAGAGAGTCAAGTTTGGAGGCAATGAATATGTATTTTTGATTTACTGATATACTTCATATGTTTTTTCATTGTATGAATCAAAATCGTACTCTACGGAATTTTATATCAGTAATTCACCAATCGCCGTAGTATTTTAGAGTAGTACTGACCGCGAATAACGTTGGACACAATTGAATTAATATATAAGAACATTTTGGAATCTCGTAGTTTTGATGGATTGAATATTTTACGCGACAGGAAAATCATTATACGCTGAAAAGGCGACACTTCAACGAGTGCATAATTGCGGCGGCTGTTTCATAAGGGAATGGGAATTTAGAATTAAACAGACCTCCTCCCCCCGTGGGAAGGTTCACGTTATATCAGATCGGTTACGACCTCCCTCAACCATCAAGTCCATGCATCTGATACAAGTGACTGCATTTCTAATCCCAACATGGACTGGTAACTGGACGAGCGGCTGTGGTTCGACATGGGATTAGGTCTCCTTGTCGGACCTACCCCCACCTTGGGAATAAAAATAGAATAAGCTTTGTATTACAGATTAATTGAAGTATTTTAATATATAGTAATTGTATATTAGGTATTTAGTATAATATGTATTCTAAATTTTCTATTCCTAGTCAGATGTAACAAGCACTCACTCAGAAGTAAGAGAAACTCATGTTAAAAAACTTAACAACTTTCACCAAATGTGTCTCATTTGTAAGCAGAGTTACATGCACTCCCTCAGAAGGAAAGGTGACTCATATGTAAGCAGAGTTACATGCACTCACTCAGAAGTAAAGGTGACTCAGTTGTATGTAAAGTTACAGGCACTCTCTCATAAGTTAAGGTGGCTCCTTTGTATGTAAAGTTACAGGCACTCTCTCATAAGTTAAGGTGGCTCATTTGTAAGCAAAAATACAGGCACTCACTCAGAAGTAAAGGTGACTCAGTTGTATGTAAAGTTACAGGCACTCTCTCATAAGTTAAGGTGGCTCATTTGTGAACAAAGTTACGGCACTCACTCAGAAGTAAAATTGACTCATTTGTAGGCAAAGTCACGGACACTCACTGAAAAAATTAAGGAGACTCATTCGTAAGCAAAGTTACAGGGACTCATCCAGAAGTAAAGCTGACTCATTTGTAAGCAAAGTTACGAGCACTCACCCAGAAAGAAAAGAGGCACAATTGTTAGCAAAGTTACAGGTACTCACTTTGAAACGAAGGTGGCTCATTTGTAAGCAAAGTTATAGGCACTCACTCAGAAGTAAAGATGACTCATTTGTGAGCAAAGTTACGGGCACTCACTCAGAAGTAAAGCTGACTCATTTGGTGAGCAAAGTTACAAGGTACTCACACTGGAATGAAGAGACTCCAATTTGTAAGCAGAGGTTCAGGAACTCACATCAGAAAGGTGAAGGTAACCATTTGTAAGGCAAAGTTACAAGCACAACTCAGAAGTAAAGCTGAACTCATATTGGCGGAGCAAAAGTTACAGGTACTCACTCAGGAAATAAAAGAGACTCATTTGTAAGCAGAGCTTGCAGGAACTCACTCAGAAGTGAAGGAAGCTCATTTGTAATCGAAAGTTACAGGCACATCACCTCAAGAAGTAAAAAATTCGACCCACTTTGTAGGCAAAGTCACGGAAACACTGAAAAAAAGGAGACTCATTCTTAAGCAAAGTAACAGGCACTCATCCAGAGGTGAAGCTGACTCATTTGTAAGCAAAGTTACGGGCACTTCACCCAGAAGTAAGAGAGCACAATGTTATAAAAAGACAAAGTCAGCAGGATAAGACTTAACGAAGAAAAGTGTACTCATTTGTCACGGCACACACGTTACAGGCACATCATTCAGAAGTACAAAATTGACACATTTGTAAGCAAAATCATGGGCAATCACTCAGACGTAACGGTGACTCATCTGTAAGCTTTTTATATAGAAAACATACCTGTAACTTCATTATCTCTGTATTCTCTCTGAAATGTTCCAATAACTCTCTTGTAGCCGCATGTAGGGTTGGTTGAGGACTCAAAATCACATGTGAGATCGACTAAAAAACACAAATTAAATTCTTTAGAGTCAGAGCCTTGTAATGTTGGCTAAACTGAATATTATTTTGTTCTGAACAGGCCTGTAAAGTTGGATGAAATTCACAATCAACATCGGGTTGAAACAATTTTTATCTTCGACTCAGCGTCAAAGTCCAGATATAATCAAATGTTGGAATATCAGACTTTCAATGGTGAAAGTCAAAATATCATTAAAAACTCAAAAAGCAAGTTTGCAAAACATCATACTTAGGAGGGCGTGAATGAATTCGACTTTGCCTGCAAATTTCTGGTAATTAGTGTCACGGTTCTTAGCTCAGCATGAAGAAAGATTTTTGATAATATCACATGGAGCAGAAAGTCATGAGACGGTTCAATCATAGCAAACCCCACCAGTGGTCTCATTATCAGTCCAGGTCAGAAATAGAAATAGTTTCAGGTTCTGAGTCGGTACGTACTGTAACATAATATTGATTATAGGATGCAGACTAGATTTTTCCGCAAATTACATTTTCAGCTTCATAACTACGAACAAAAATCAAGAGCGGGGTAGGCAAGGTTTTGGAGCAGGGGCCAAAAATTTTGCCCACCCAGTCTGGCAGGCCATAAAAGTGGGATGTAAAGATTATTTTTTGGGACAACATTTACAGTGGTACAATAGGCAAAAATGGAAACAATAAGTCTCGTGCCAAAACTAAATTAAATAGGCAATCTCAACAATATCCTTGAAATTTGTTTTTATTTTGGTTGTGGCAGCAATTAGGCGGGCCAGATTAAATTACCCATCAGGCCGGATTCGACCGGCGGGCCTTAGGTCGCCCATGTCCAGGTTAAGATCCTGGATCTTATCTTACCTATCCGGTGCCTCAGGGGCTTATCAATTTAGCCTCGAAATTCTTGACTAAATTGGAGCAAATGTTATTTTTGATCATTTCTGAACTTCTGACGCCACGTTGACGTCATAGAGCACCTAAAATATATGGACGGTCGTTCAAAATGAGCAGACAATCAGCGGGAATTGAGCAAGCTGGGTCGTAAACAAAGTAAATTCTCATCGTTGATAATTTTGTAAAGCTCAAAATCAATAGGAGTTTAAATTAGACTTTTTCTCGTTTACGAAATAATCGAAAAGCAAGAAACGACAGAGAGAGAGGGTATGGCACGATACACGACATTACTTGCTCGATTCGGGTAATCGTATGCACGTTTTGGACGAACGTCTGTATATTCTAGAATGGTTTTACATTTTAGCACCCGAAAGGATAGTTGGACTCCTATCCGCCGCAGGGTGGTTAACGTCGGTTACAAATAACTGGCTAACTAATCCTACACGGACATGGACCGGTAAGCGAACGAGAGGCCAAGATTTGCCCTAGGATTAAGCCATCTATCACTACCCAGGAAATAATAGGTAAATCATATCCTATATTCGCAAAAAACAAATCTACTACCGGTAATGAACAAAGCACAACCGTTGAGTAACGGAGATTTCTGGGTCTTTATAGTTTAAATATCACATGTACTTCTAGTGGGGGTGTCTTAAACAGCTTTGCATATGGTAATTCCTAATCCCCCAAGCAAAAATATACGGATGTTTTTAACATATTTTTTGTATGATGTAGTATACTGAGAGTCAGGAATGACACATGCCCAGAGTTGTTATGCTACGCTCACTAGAATACATGCGGTAGTATACTATATATATAACAAACCAGGACCAAGATTTCTCGAGTCTCGCGTCGAAACGACAACGCTAAAAAGCGTAAAGCCAGGCAACGCCCAGACTATGAAACGCCATCCTGAGGCCATTTTGCTCTGTCATGTAAAGCGTCTTGCTGAAAGTAGAAGTCATTTTTAAATACATTCCGTGATGCGTATTTGCATCCCACTCAAAAATAAGACGCTAGACAAGACAATTACTAGTACATAAGAATCTACTTACTAGTATCACAATTTTTCCTGTTCGGACCTCAGTGCTGAGGATTCCTAATTAAGATATAAATCTTTTCCAAGTAAAAAACGAGGAAGAGAAGGCCACACAACCTGTACTCTGTTCGACTTTTGTAGTTTGTGGGTATTCGCAAACGGCCGTAGTATCAGTTACTATGACTGAAAAAGAATATTGTAATATCTATTCTAGTGCATGAGATACCAAAAGTCATACCCTGGGTAGTGGTCGTTTCCTTGACACCCATGACAGAGGGCGTAGTCGTTTTTTTGAACCACAACAGAGGGCGTGGTCGTTTCTTTGACACCTACAAAGAAAGGGCGAAGTCGTTTCCTTGACACCTACAGCAGAGGGCGTAGTCGTTTTCTTGCCACCTACAACAGAAGACGTGGTCGTTTCCTTGACACCTACAACAGAGGGCGTGGTCGTTTCCTTGACACCTACAACAGAGGGCGTAGTCGTTTCCTTGACACCTACAACAGAGGGCGAAGTCGTTTCTTTGACACCTACAACAGTGGGCGTAGTTGTTTCCTTGACACCTACAACAGAGGGCGTAGTCGTTTCCTTGACACCTACAACAGAGGGCGTAGTCGTTTCCTTGACACCTACAACAGAGGGCGTAGTCGTTTCCTTGACACCTACAACAGAGGGCGTGGTCGTTTCCTTGACACCTACAACAGAGGGCGTAGTCGTTTCCTTGACACCTACAACAGAGGGCGTAGTCGTTTCCTTAACACCTACGACAGAGGGCGGCACTGAGTTTGTTTCAGATTCTTCCATCGTCTTCTTCAATTGATAAATCTTACTTTCCATTCCGTCTAACTGTTTCGTTAAAGCTGCGGAACATAAACGAAAACAGAATTTAAATTGGGTCCTCAGTTTTACAGTTTGTATTCAATGAATTATCTGTAAGAATATATGTACCCCTCTTTCTCTGGTTAAAATGGGAATATGAGATGAATATTGCTAAACTACACGTTATAATGCTGTGATTGTTGAAAATAGCGCGATAAAAATATAAAATTATTTATATTTTTCTAATAAAACGATTGTTTAAGGGCATGTTGGTTACCAGACCGTTTGACAAATATAAGAAAATTTCAAACGTATTTCGAAGGCAATTATATTGTGAACACGAACCTTCCAAAGCATTTTTTTCTTCTATTGTGCATTGTCCTTCCTGAAATACAACAAGAGAGCAATTTTAAAATACATGGACATGAATGCTGCACATCCGTGCAGTAACGCCTTAGCTGAGCAGGTGTTCCAGGTGGAAAGGTGTTCCCATGGATAAAAGTAAAAACACAAAATCTGGGATGAGGTATCGATTAAAGTAAATTTTGAAACTTCAGTACTTATAGATGGAAGAAACTGCTAGAAAGTTAAATTTTATCATTTTCATTTTCAGATTTCAAACAAAACAGTTTTATTTTTATAAATAATAACAACAATATCAAACTATTACTAAAGCTCTCACCGTAACGTTTTTCCAAGTAGGTTTTCCGTCACAAACCATAGGCATCCAGCATTTCTCACCTGTTAAGAACAAAATGAAATTAGAAATCGAGCAAATTGATCCGTTTAAAATAAGTTTATACCAGATAAAGGTTATGTTACTGACCTTTTATCACATAGGGATTAATTCAGTAACTATTTACTTATGGCGCGCATTCCCTCATTCCATATTTAATATTATACTGCTGCGCACGTCATGCGAACGCACTAATTTCCTCGATGTCAAATTTGAGTTATTACGCCCGCCATTGGGGAACCAAATAATGTTTAATGTTACTGCAAGCATAATCTAAGATCTGATCAATACCTGCGGTTCAGTTTCAAGAATCTGAGAATCGTATCAACGTGTTCTGTCTAACAATAAACTCAGGAATAAACAATAAACTCAAATTCCCTATAGATTGCTGCTCTGAACCTTCTTCAGGATTCACATAGTTCCGAGTATTGCTGAAATTTATTCAACATCCTTCGATGAGTTTTATTTGATGTTTTATACATCTTTTCTACCCGAACAAGACTCTGTGTTAACGGCCAATGATACGTTATTAGCTGCTGTATTTCAGACGGGAAGCAATATTGATGATTCGGCATTACTTATTCAGTTTACCATTTATGAAATTAAACTCGACATTCTACCCCGCCATGCCAAAATATCCAAATTCAAAGCTTCACCTATGGGCCACCACGCCCACTAATCTACAATCAAATTTTCTTTTCTGAACATAACGATTCGAGTGTAGATTACGATAACAAAAATTCAGATTTAAAACTAAAACATGAGGTAATAATGAGTTAAGATTTAATACCAAAGCGTTGTATTGCATACTCGTATATATATTTTGATAAAGAAACGGCCATTTGGCACAATCATCATTTATTTTTATATTAATGGCGGCATCCGCCTTTGGAGTGCAACAAAGGTCTATTTAGATTTTTTTCGTAACTAATTCAACTTTCAAAGAGAGATCGAAGATTGCAATATTATTACACCGTCATTCTGGCCTCCTCTATGCCGGAATAAATAAATATTTCACCTTATACAAATTGGTAATTCGAGGAGCGAAAAACGAACATCTAATTTCACGACAAATCAAAACCCAGGCAAGCAAGGAAAGCATGCTCGGTTATACTGACCTTTAATCAAGGGAAATGCCTCAATAAACATAAGAAGAATGTATTGAATCGGAATCTTCATTTTAAATCCAAAGTTTTTTTTTCAAATTTGCTTCGATGAAAGTCGATTCCCGAACAGGATATGTTAGAATGAAGCTTCAGTCAATCCGCGTCGGAATATATCCTATGCAAGCTCACTCACTATTCCAGAGCTGAAAGTAAAGTTGTTTTCTCTCTTTTAAATTGTAGGATACGTGTTGCGTCACAAAAAAGGGAGTTTGGTATATGCTGCTCTTTCTATCTTTATGAAACAATGACGACGACGTCACGCCCGAAAGAGTGATACTTGATTGAATTTGTTGGCAATTGCCAGGGTTATGCTAGTTTGAAACGGCAGAGATTATACACGTTCATTTCCTGAAATCAAACAGGTCCAACAAGTTGAAAACAAGTTGAGCAGGTTGAAATAATTATTTACATCGATCACTCACAGTTGTATAGAAAATATCAATGATTGATGTTATGTTATCCACGTGACCTTTCCCTGCTCATGACCGATTGCTGAGAATGTTTTCTGCACAGTTATTTTGTTCGCCGCCCATATACCATTGGGCAAAGAAAATATAACAATGAATATTTATCAGTCAAGGACCTGATTATGCAATTAATTGAAGTACTTTCCAGATTTCTCTGAAAACTGAGACAACACAAATGATATTGCAAGTAAATACCGCGATTTAAAGGCATGTAACACTTTGAGCCACCGCCTTGATGCCAATTTTAACTGAGTTGATACTGATACACCCTCATGGAAATATTGTGAATCGGAGATAAAACATCAAGCCTGATTTTACCTTCACTTGAAATTTCAATCAAATTTTTTTTTTCTATCTTTCTCTGAAAACTGAGACAACACAAATAAAAATGCGTTGAATTACCGTGAACCATGAAAAAAACACGCTGGACTTTATTTTTTTAGGGTCGGTGATCACTTGACCAAGTGACCTCAACTTCGAAGTCGGGACTTGAAGTCGGAATAACAGTTTTCTCTCTGGGCCATGTCTTGTACAAGTTAGACACTTATGCGAATTTATATTATCTAAAGTTCTAGAACAGTAGTGGCCAATCTGCGGTTCGCGAGCCGCATGCGGCGCTTGCTCCGATTACATGCGGCTCTTTTTGCCATGATTATTTGAAGAGGTATAGATTCGTCGATTATTACGTCATATTCAATTTTTTGTTGTAGAGCTGTCGTAAATCATATCGGAAACATGTTTGGCTGCAAACGCGGATTTTACCATCTGATTGAAGTAAATGAAGTGCAAATAAAACGTCACAGATTACGTCGTCGACGACTTGTATCATTTTAAGCCAGATTGTTTGAAATTTCCTCCACTTATTCAGTCTCAGGCCCCAACCTGAGTTTAAGATGATTGTTTTTTACGAGGAATACAAACTGGAACGCACTTGAAGGGACGGAAAGGCAAATTTAGTTATGGTGAGGTATACCAATGGAAAATACCCCAGGTTAAACGAACTGAGCTTAGGATATTGGTAATGTTTGGGTCAACATACGTCTCCGAATCTTCTAACCTAAAACACGCGAAATCAAAACTTTGATCTGTTCTGACTGACATCCATGTGAAACAACTGCTTCGATTAGCCAGAACGACATACAGGCCAGATTGAAAAAAGATTGTTCATTCCAAAGAATGCCAGAAGACACACTAAGCTAAGTAGCATGCGTAACAATAAATGGTTTGTAAATTTCTGTCATACTCATGCTGTTTCATTACATTTACAATAAACTAGCATTCTAGCTGAGCTGTTTAAAGGTAGATCTGAAGTTAATGTGTGTTCTTGTTCATAATGTGGCTCTTCGCGTTAATAAATAATCCCTGTTCCAAAAGAGTGCTGTTCATTGTGATCACACTTTTAATTAAGAGAACATTTCATACTTGAAAAATCAGCAATTACGATTTCAGCATCAAAATTGTTTTAGTACCTAATAATTTGTCGGTCATTGCAGTTTTATGCCCCGGGGTTTAATAAAAGTTGAGCTGGTGTCTTACTACTCAATAAAATATTGCGCGATATATTATTCGGAATTTGCCCTAACAGGTAGCAGAGCTCTGGCGATTTATTTATTTTGTCCATGAGTGAGTTTTTGTAAATTGAATGACATCGCAATGCGAAATTTCAGGTGATAAAGTGATAAGTTTAAAATATTAAATGTAATGAATTACGAGTTGATTTGGATATTTGATTCGTTTCGGACGTCAAAATTAGTTTCCCGATAGGAAGAAGCCAGGTTGGATTGACACTTGGAAGATGCACTTTCTAGTCTTGGCGGAAATCGCCTAACCTCGGTGGTTAGTTGTTTCCGAGCTATTTCAATCAGTTAACTCGAGTTAATTTGAGTCATCGATAAATCATCATTCGTGACTTCACAGCGCTGCTGTTTTCACGTTGCATATTTGACATAAGCTTCACTTTTAACATGAATTTCAAAGGGTGGTTTATTCACCACTTATAGAAGAGATGTAGAAAAATCACTGTCTTTGATGATACATGCACAATTGCTGTTAGTTTTGGCACACGTTTCAAACAAATTTCATTTTTTGTTGAATAAAACATGTTCAACTGGTAGGTAGCTAACAATACATTTTTCAAGCCTTTCGGTGGAGCGGTAATATTTGGAGAGTAGTAATATTAGGTTGAATTCATGGGCAATGGTTGGATGCCAGGGTTATGCTAGTTTAAAACGGCAAAAGTTTCAAACGTTCATTTCCTGAAATCAAACAGGTTAAAAAAGTTGAAAACAAGTTCAACAAGTTAAAATATTATTTACATCGAATACTCACAGTTGCATCAGAAATATCAGTGATTTTTGTTGTGTTTTGTAACGTGGCTTTTTCATTGCTATTTTGTTTGCCGTCTATATAACATTATGTAAAGCAAAATAACAGTGAATATGTCAGTCAAGGAACCGATTATGATATTAACCAAAGCACTCTGTAGTTTTTCCTGAAAACTGAGAGAACACACATGATAATACAACAAAATACCGCGATTCAAGGAATTATAACATTTTGAGCCCTGGCTATGATGACAATTTCAATCAAAGTACTTTTTACAGTTCTCTTAAAACTGTGATAATACAGATACAGACTCGTAAAATTATGGTGATCCGGGGATAAAGAGCACGCTTGATTTCATTTCTGCTTGAAATTCCAATCATATTCTTTCCCCTATATTTAGGATTTAAAATATCGAATATAATCAGTTACGATTTGATTTGGATATTTGATTCATTTTGGACATCAGAACAAGTTGGCAGATGGGAAAAAGCTTTCTAGTCTTGGCGAAAATTCTCCGAACCTCGAGTTCAGGTCGAGTCAATCAATGTGTTGAGTCTCATCGGTGGTTAGTTGCGTCCGAGTTATTTCATTCAGGTAACTCAACTCAGGTTATTGATGAATCGTCATTCTAGTTTTCACAGTGGTGTTACTTTCACATTGCGATATTTCACATGAGCTTTACTGTTAAAATAAATTTTAGGGAGAAGGGTATTCACCACTTATAGAGGGGAAAAGACGACACATGAACAATTGCTGTTGAATTTAGCCGACATTTCCGACGAATTTTATTTTATAATATAATAAAACATGTTCAACTTGTAGGAAGCTAACAAGCTAACCGACGAACATTTTCTAACAGGAACCGAAGAACATTTTCAGGAAACACAGTTTTGGGTCGCGAACCAAAAATTGGGGAACACTGTCTTAGGGTGCCGCGGAATAATTCTTTAAACCCGCTTGTCTATGCAAACAAACTTAAAAATTATACATCGATACGTTGGCTAAGCAATATTGTTTGTTTCTCACCAGTTATGCATGTATTACTATAATTTCAAAACCAAATTATCTAACGATGCACAGTTATGGGGTCACAAATTAAGGCTGGTCATTACAAATCAAATGGTAGATAAGTCGAATCCCTTCTGACGATAATTTGGAATCGCCGCCATCTTGTTTTTGTCCGTCAAATGTCGGAGTGAATCATTGAAAATTTTTATTGAAGCAATTTTATTGCAATTTTTAAAATGCAATTCTGACTTATGACTTCTTAGTGAAATATTGATGAAACATATTTCTTATTGTCTGTGAACGCTCAGTAGACTGTCTGAGTGATTTATTCTATATTTTCAGCAATTTATGTGTCTAGAGTTCCCGTTGAAAAATAAAAAAAATAAAAAAGTCACATGCTATTACATATCTTCCGAGTATCCGAGATCGTTTCAGAAATATATCCGATTCAGTTTCTAATCATCAGGCATTTCCAAATCCTCATCTCCAATTAGTTTAGTTGACAATGATGGATTAGATGAACGTATTGTTGTTTTATTAGGCTGTCACACTGGGAATTATCACACTTGAAGCGAAACATTGTTTGATCTTTCGATTTATGTTTTTGCGCTAAAAGTCATTCTTGTAGTCGGTCAAATAGTAGTTTCCCTTTCCCGTTAACCCTTTATTTAATTAAGCTACCAAATTTTTTAAAATATAAACTTCGTAAATAGAAAATGACTTGTTTACGGCCACAAAATTAGTTGCCCAATATAGACAATCATTTTTATATAACATTCAGTTCCCGAAAATTACCTCAAAGTGTAAAATCGTGTCGTCTTTTATCGCAATATAACTAGCTGAAATGATGGGCATAACCTGTGATGCCATTATAGTCGAGTCAAATGTGGGATAAGGCAGGTTTCTCATATAAATCCATCGAGCGGGTGTTTATAAAAAAAAAATGATCCTTTGTACAAAGACCCCGCTCAAATTCAAAAAATTGGTCAGGGTCAGGACGATGGTTGGAAATGCCAGATTGCGATGGGAATTCAAATAATTCGTAACTCGAACCCGAACTGTATAATTAGCAATTTGTTATTTTAAATGTGGCGGGCTTTGTACAAAAAAAACAAAAAGGTACATAATATTCTACAGTTGAATTTAAAAAAAAAATTGTGATGACATGATTTACCTGTGTTTCTGCGTTTTTTCATTGGTTTTCTATCTCATTGACATTGCTTGTAAGAGTGTGTATTCGTACACCTATGTTTTTTTTTTATATT